ATCAATTTAATTCTACTTTATTATTATTTTTTTGTTTTTTTAGATAGCTTCAAAATTGAATCATTGCATACGATATATAGCAAACGTTGATCCCAACTTAATTGTGAAGAGTTGTATAGTAAATAAATTAAACTTTCGACGCACTTGCAAACGTAGTTTTGTTAAAAAAATAAGCTAAAAAAATTTATATGTTGCTTAACATATAAATTTTTTGTGAATTCTTGTTAATTGTTGCCATAATTTTTATTTTCTAATGTTGTGAGTTATAAAGATACTGAAATATACGAATTTTTAGTAATTTAAAATATTATTGGTTATAAAATTAGAGGTAATAATTGATTTTTTTTTTGATTAGGACAAATATTGTAAAAATGAATTGATTAATATTTTATAGGTAAAAATGTATTTGTGTTTTCATAAAAGGATAATATTGGAACAATACATGCCATTTTATGGAGTTTAGGATTTATTGAGAATAAATTATCAAAAATAAGATTTAATTGTACAAATAAAAATATGATAGAACTTAATAATTTTTTGTATAAAAAAATAGGACTTATTATAGGAAATTTTCCCTTTTTCCCCCCTTTTTCAGGGGTAGGTTTCTGAGGGTGGGGGCAGGCGAGTCCCGGTGGTCTCTGAGTAATTGACTTCTCTTTTATTGTGAGAGAGTAATGTTTTTGCAATTTATACAATAAAACCTAATGATATGATAGCCAGAATGTTCTAATAAAATTATTGTAATAATAGATATACGACTTATTTATTAGGATTATATAAATTTTTTTTTTTGGTTTAGTAACCTATTTTTTTTTTTTGGTTTAGTAATCTTTAGGGGTAGTTCAATGGTTGAGCCTATCATTTGGTAATTCAGAGGTCTTAAATTCAATCTTTTCTCACACTCCGTAAGGGTTAAGGGACATGCTCTAACCTAGTTCAAGTCACGATGACCAACCGCTGAGTTTGAGAGAGTAGTCGGCATAAGTCTACACACTCTGTAGCCAAAAAATTTTTTTATATAATTTAATATATTATTAGATCAACAAATTAGTTCAATTTTTAGGTCTAGCAAATAACACAATTGAAAAAACTAGGAGTTTGGTTAATATATTTGAAAATTCCGCCGAAAAATCTAAAATTTATCTAAGAACACACGAATGTACGCGGTCAATTTTCAAACATGTTTTGCATAAAACAAGGAATTTTTATGCTTCTACAATAATTCATTCTATATTTACTGTTATAGATTTTGTTCTCAATTAGTAGCCTTATTTTTTCTTTCGACAAATTCTATTTTACTTCTTGTTGTTTGGTCATGTAACACTTTAATCTCTATAATTTACAAATAACCACATAATCTTTGTTTAGACATGTGAGAGCCAAGGAGTTCTTGGTGTCCTCTTAAATTATCCTAGACCCCCTCTAAGTTTGTGTGTTACAACACTAAACCAATCCTCAATGAATTAAAAGAACATTCGTTAGTGTGGCGAAGTTTCCCATAATTTTGCGCATTGTAAAACATAATCTAACAATTAATTGTGTAGAAACCCAAATATTTCACTAACAATACAAAAACCCGATAAAATTTGTGTTCTGTTGGGTTGGGTTGTGTTGTAGAATGGAAAATCCCTCGAGAGATCGAACCATTATGAATTAACAATATTTAGGGTGCAAGATGAAAAGGACTACAACTCCAAAAAAGAGGGGGGTTTTTGAAAATCAGAAACTGGGCATTAGCTAATGGCTTGCATGTGTTGTTTGATTCCTCAATGTGAGAAAAGTGCTTGATTGGCTGTTCCAGGTGGGGAGCTTTTCTCTTTCCCAGTATGAAAAGTTCACCTTTTTGTGGGTTACACATCCTTTAGTGAATGGTCAGGGCTGTAGTCTCCTTCATTTGGGAAGCTTTTTGCTCATCCCCACTTTGTTGCCTCCATTTGTCTCTATTTAGTGTGTTCATTTATGTACTCATTTATTTTCTGCTTAATCTTTTGACAGACAGTACCTACATTTTTTAAAGGTTGGATTGAGTGTTATATTAAAAATAAGGGAATAAGCCAGTCATTTAAGACAGATCTTAAAATGGTTCCAATTCTCTTCTAATGCTTTTTTTTCTCCATTTTTCCTTGACAAATCATTTACCATTAAGCATATCTTCAGCCCTTTCTTTTTGTAGACTTAAATTGAAATTGGAATAAAAAAACCATAAAAAGTACCTAATAACATTTTTCAATGCCATACTCAAAGTCATACCAAATCAAATGAGACTTAAATTTTTACACAAATCAAAAGAGATTTAAATCTTTACTCACTAATGATCAGGTTTTATTTTTCTTTAAAAATCTAATGATCATATTTCATCTTCCTTTAAATTTGAGTTTGCCAAACTTTAAACTCGAGTTTGTCTCCGTTTAAATTTAAATAAAAATTGGAGTTAAAATTAAAAATGCTCTAATAAGTGAATGACTCACTTAGATATAATGAACTCCACCTGATANAATCTAAAATTTATCTAAGAACACACGAATGTACGCGGTCAATTTTCAAACATGTTTTGCATAAAACAAGGAATTTTTATGCTTCTACAATAATTCATTCTATATTTACTGTTATAGATTTTGTTCTCAATTAGTAGCCTTATTTTTTCTTTCGACAAATTCTATTTTACTTCTTGTTGTTTGGTCATGTAACACTTTACTATCTATAATTTACAAATAACCACATAATCTTTGTTTAGACATGTGAGAGCCAAGGAGTCCTNATAATTAAGTTTTAATATGGAATTGGTACAACATAAATGCATGTGACTTGGTTACAGTGCCATGTGAAACCCTTTCAACTCAGCTGGAATGAGTTACAGCCAAATATGGGGTGCCCANATATAATGAACTCCACCTGATATGAGGTTGGGTGATCCACCAAGAAGAAAAATTGTCACATATTGGGGATTTAATGCCAGAGCATGTCAGCATCATAGAAAAATTAGATCATACACACACTNGTTTGTGTGTTACAACACTAAACCAATCCTCAATGAATTAAAAGAACATTCGTTAGCGTGGCGAAGTTTCCCATAATTTTGCGCATTGTAAAACATAATCTAATAATTAATTGCGTAGAAACCCAAATATTTCACTAACAATACAAAAACCCGATAAAATTTGTGTTGTGTTGGGTTGTGTTGTAGAATGGAAAATCTCTCGAGAGATCGAACCATTATGAATTAACAATATTTAGGGTGCAAGATGAAAAGGACTACAACTCCAAAAAAGAGGGGGGTTTTTGAAAATCAGAAACTGGGCATTAGCTAATGGCTTGCATGTGTTGTTTGATTCCTCAATGTGAGAAAAGTGCTTGATTGGCTGTTCCAGGTGGGGAGCTTTTCTCTTTCCCAGTATGAAAAGTTCACCTTTTTGTGGGTTACACATCCTTTAGTGAATGGTCAGGGCTGTAGTCTCCTTCATTTGGGAAGCTTTTTGCTCATCCCCACTTTGTTGCCTCCATTTGTCTCTATTTAGTGTGTTCATTTATGTACTCATTTATTTTCTGCTTAATCTTTTGACAGACAGTACCTACATTTTTTAAAGGTTGGATTGAGTGTTATATTAAAAATAAGGGAATAAGCCAGTCATTTAAGACAGATCTTAAAATGGTTCCAATTCTCTTCTAATGCTTTTTTTTCTCCATTTTTCCTTGACAAATCATTTACCATTAAGCATATCTTCAGCCCTTTCTTTTTGTAGACTTAAATTGAAATTGGAATAAAAAAACCATAAAAAGTACCTAATAACATTTTTCAATGCCATACTCAAAGTCATACCAAATCAAATGAGACTTAAATTTTTACACAAATCAAAAGAGATTTAAATCTTTACTCACTAATGATCAGGTTTTATTTTTCTTTAAAAATCTAATGATCATATTTCATCTTCCTTTAAATTTGAGTTTGCCAAACTTTAAACTCGAGTTTGTCTCCGTTTAAATTTAAATAAAAATTGGAGTTAAAATTAAAAATGCTCTAATAAGTGAATGACTCACTTAGATATAATGAACTCCACCTGATATGAGGTTGGGTGATCCACCAAGAAGAAAAATTGTCACATATTGGGGATTTAATGCCAGAGCATGTCAGCATCATAGAAAAATTAGATCATACACACTATGTGTATCATATCCACTGCCATAATTAAGTTTTAATATGGAATTGGTACAACATAAATGCATGTGACTTGGTTACAATGCCATGTGAAACCCTTTCAACTCAGCTGGAATGAGTTACAGCCAAATATGGGGTGCCTATGATCCACACTGGTGCACATGGCCGGTATAATTTTCCTCATCATAGAATATATATAGTCAAGCCTATAGTGTTGGATTAATGTTATGGGCAGTCTGATCATATAAATTATAAATTCTGGTAGAATTTCAGTTCCTTGACGTATAAGAATCTTTCTATAAGTCTGCCCCCAACGATGGTCAAATGTCTAGAAACTTAAGAATTATGGCTTGTTCTTTCTTTTGTCTGTTTTATGGTACTGGTGACTCCTGAATTGTACATTGCCATTTGGCTGGCTACTCCATATACAAACAGATGCGCATGCAGAAGCTTCTGCGTGTGGGTGTGTGAGAGAGAGAGAAAGAGTTTAATTTACATATATATTAAGATTATTGGCAATCACTACAGGCAAATGAGAGAGAGAGATTAATTTACATATATATTAAGTTTATTGGCAATCAATACTGGTAGATATTCTATAACTTATACATTACACCATCTAAAGAATAATACATACGAGTGAAGAGAGACTTAATTCATTGTAACTATCAGATTAATTATGAGTTTTTATGTTGAATAAAACTCACTTTCAATCTAATAACTACAGTTGAATACGTTATCAAACTAAGTTTACATAGCATTTTCCAACTTAAAAACAATCACGAATATGAGATGAAATTCAGCATACATACAACATATAACGGACTCTATGCACATCTCTACATGTCTATGGATTTGGCTCTCCAATTTTGGTTGGAAAAGAATGGCCAACACCGGCGCTGTGACCTGGCATAGTTGCTCGGAAATCATCCGTGTTTCCGGCAACAGAATGGCCAACACCTGGAGCATTTTCTAGTGCTTTTGATTTAGTATCAATATCATGATGTCCCGGGAAAGCATGGCCAACACCGGGGCTATAACCCGGTGTTGTCGGCCGAAAATCATCCTCCAAAACTGCTGCTGAGGAGCCAAATCCAAGATTTTGAGTATTTTCCACTGGTGGTGAAGCTTCTTTCTTTGATTTTAAGTCCCTACCCTCAGTGAATAGAGTTTCACGGCGGGCAATTACTGCAAGAAGGAAAGCACAGTAACAGATAGTTTGGAGTTTGGCCATGGGAAAAGCTAAGAAAGTTACTCGAATAGTTTATTGAATCAGAGAGAGAGATCTAGGAAGCGAACACGATGGCTGGCATATTGCATTGATTTTTAGTGAATTGATTTTTATTATATTAGTTCACATTCTCTGTGCATTAGAAATTGATTTACCGTGTTTTTGTTTTAGAGATTTCAATCGATGTGTATGAGCAAGAAACAAAGTTCCATAATTAGCATGTTTTTATCCAATTTTTTTGTAGTTTTTTACCATTGTATCAAGTAGATCCATTTTCGACTAAAATTAAACTATTTCATTCCATTTGATTAATAACCTTTGGCCTCATTTTTTGTAGTGTTGCCCAAGGGCATTGTCAAGTACGGGAGCAAGTGAAATATGTTTAGAGAAACAAGAACAAGTGAAGATGCCGCAATTGCATTGAAGATAGATGAAATGAATAGTTGACTCCAACGTGTTGATGCAAATGAAGGAATGTCAAATTTGCTACTACTTGCGAGCATCCTACGATCATGCTTTAGTTTGTTGTTTTTTTGGTTTGTTTCTTTAATGTTGAAGTCATGAAACAAGTTTGTATGTAATTTAGCGATGTAAGATGCTCAACTTGCAATGTAATAGTTTATTTTTCAGTTATGGAAATGTATTAGAATTTAGTAAGGCATTGATATTTGTATTTCGTATGTGCTCTTGTGAAGTATGAGTATTTTGCTATTTGGTGGTGTGAATATCATGTGAATGAACAATGGTGGTTTGATACTTTGATATTGGTGGTTTGAGCATCCAGAATGATGGTTGAGCATGTCATGAATGATGGTTGATATTGGTGGTTTGAGCATGCCAAACTTCATTAAGTAATGAATATGGAGCATCCACAAAAAAATACAAGACAACCAACATTCATAGAAAATTTTGAAGACTTTTCCAACACAATCAACTACACATTGAACCACAAAAATACAATCCAAACAAAAGAGTATATGAAATATGGAAATATTGAATCTTCCACCAACAAAACAGGATACAATCCTAACGTTGAATCTTCCCCCTACTTTTTTTCTTCATTGGCCACCTCTTAAGTTATCACTAAAAAAACCATAGATGTTTTCATTTACGAAACAAGATTCAACATCAAATGAAATTCCCTACATGAATAAAAAAATATTCAATGAGGTAAGAAGTTCAATAATAAATTATGAAAATATAGTATATTTAATCTAACATACCTGAGCATTTTTCTGTCCATTTGATATTTGTGAAGACAATGGATTAGAATGAACACAATGTTCACGAGGCAACGAATTTTTCTCATAACTCATTGATACAATTGGTTGAGAAACCTTCAAAACAAACATTCCACAACACAAATAAAATAAAGTAAAACACGTATTCTAAATCTCCGTTAATATAAAGACGTTGTACCTTTGACCTATGAGAAGTTTCTATTTTCTTCTTTACTTGTTTCTCATGTCAGGGCTGTAGTTGACCCCAACCCTTGTAACTACCATCTTTCTTCTTCAAACCTTTTACCTGTAGAATGTTAGGGTCAATGTTCGCCACTCCTTTACTTGCACATGTGTTTTGAAAGGAAGCATGGTCTTCACCACCATTTACTTCATTACTAAGTGATGCATACATAATTTTCACTTGTTTGAATAACTCATCAACACCTCGGTTCACCAACTGATGGGCAGTTTTAAAATTAGAGCAATAAGCTGCTAATTGTACCATTTTAGGACATAACTGTATGTAACGTGCTGCTGCCATTAACTTGGAATCCCCCTCATTTGGTGTGGTACTAAAGTCATCACTATATAACTTTCTTGTATTTCGCCTCCATTTCTGTATTATGTATATTTCAGGAAGTTGTTTAATGTTCATTGTGTCTCGCACTTTAATTGCATGACCACATAATATCCCAATCATTTCAAATTTTCGACAGTTACATGCAACTTTTTGCTCATTAACATTGATCACACCAAATAATGTCTCTCTTCATCATACAATTCAACCACAAATTGATGACATCCATCCATCACATTGCATGGATTCGCGATAGCGCACTAGAATATGTCATACTCATTTCGAAATAACTCAAAAATAGGAGTGTAACAATGTCCTACTTGCACCAACTTGGGAGCTCTTTTTAACTTCATCTTAGGTAACTTTTGCGTAGCATGGTATAATGCCTCCGTCTCCTTATATCTCTTGTCATTTATAATTCTATCAAAATGAGTAAAGAATTGAACAATATTATGGTTTGGCTTTAAGTATCTCCGTAATGCTGAGTTCAAGTTTTCACTCAGTTGGGTGCTCTTCATATTGGCTGTGAAAGTTCGCTTCATATACACATGTGCCCATTTTTCTCTCAATGCCCAAGTTGAATTCATCCAAATGTATCTTACAAATTATACTCATCAAGCAAAAATTTTCAAGCCTTAAATAACTCATGTTCTTCCTCGTATCCATAGATGTATTCTTTAAATTGTGAAACAAATTTCAAACCATCCTTGTATATATTCCCTAAATGCTTTAAAATATTTTGGCAAAGCTACTAACAACATAACCCATGATATGTCTCTGGGATCACTTGGGATATAACTTTAGCCATAGCTTGATCTTGGTCAGTGAAAATGGTAATAGATTTCTTCTCAGACATTGCTTGGAGAAATGTCTCAAATAACTACTGAAATAATGCTGCCATCTCATCATACAATAATGCAATACCAAATATCACCATCTCCCTATAGTGGTTGAATCCAACCGAAATGCATAAGGGTCGGTACTCCTTGTTTGTTCGGAACGTTGTGTCAAATGTGACAACATCCCCAAATTGACCATAATCGGTAATCATTCTTGGATCAGTCAAATTTTTTTTTTTGATGCGCTCATCACCATCCAATTGGACTCTATAGTAGAATGATGAATTCTTAGCTGCTTCTTCTTGGAAATATTGCAACAAATTACTCGCTTCACCATATCTCAAGTTATGTTGCCTCCTTTCATGAATATAATTTTTTTGGTCTTGACGGATGAACTCTAAGCTTTCTCTTCCACCTGTTTGGGTACTCATGAGCTCATACGATATCTTAAGTGATATCCCATAATCGTCAGCCATATCAACATTAATACTTTCAGCTCTACTAACCTTCCATTGGGATGACATCACATGCACACATTCGACAACGTGCAAAAGATGATTGTGTTTATCTTGTTATTTGAATACAACAAATTTTTCAATATCCCTCTTAAGGGATATGCACATGTGAGCCAGACAATTCGTTTGCGTCTCTGCTCGAGGGTTCGTTGTTTTCCAATCCCTTTGATCTCGACTCCTTTGTTCCTCTTTACAATAAACATATTTTCTGTAAATTAATACCCCATCTTTCAAATTCTTGTTATGATAATCGTTTCTCACACTAAAACCCACAGATCTGCCATAATTGTTATAGAACCTATAGACATCTTCCTCAAATTAAATTGCATACCAATTCATGGAATATTATTTGTTATATCGGTCTCAACACATTTCATCTCCATTAACGCAGTTTTGACAACCTACAATGCCAAAAAAAAAATTACAGAAATTAAACATAAAACACTCACAATTAAATTTGTGAATATTCGTATGAGACTAATGAAAATAACAATTTTATTAATTTATCAAAAGCTAATGGACATCGTTTATTGATTTAAATTATAATGCAAATATATGATTGAAGACATTCATTAAAAATGACTTTCACAAAATATAGATTCAAATTTTCAGGGAACTATAATGTACGAATTGTGATGATAATTAGAAAATTTAAATCTCTATTTGTCATAATGAACTTATTCACATAGCTTAAAATATTCATGTGAAGCATATAAGAAAACCCATTTATAAAGTTCTATAGGCTACTGATATTTTTTTTATGGATTTCACATAGGACAAAATTATGGAACTTGGTTGGCACCGAGTTGTAAATAGTGACCTAAAGCCGTCTTAGGCAGCAATTTGGATTTGTTCGTTGCTGTAGAAGAAGAAAGGCTGTTCGGTGCTGTGGAAGACGAAAGACTGTTCGCTATTGTGGAAGACGAAGGCTTGTTTGATTTTGTGGAGGGAAAATTGGCAAGTTTGGAGGGAAAAAGGTCTGATTTGTTTAATGGGGGAGGGCTGTGTTGCTGAAATGACACTATTCCATTTATGAGGCTGTTTTGTGGGCCATTTACACAAAACGCTGCTGTCTCAATTAACAGCATGGTGTGTTGTTAGACTTCTAAAAGCAGAGAAGCCAGAGCTGTAGCATTATTCTTGTTAAGTGCACTTCAATATTCTATTTTAAAACTTCTTTGGATTATCTCTCCATCAGGACATGTAAAACTCCAAAATAGTTAAAATTTAGCTAATCAACAACAAAAACCATGCTCCAACAGAATATGTTCAAATGTTCTAAAATAGTTTTTTGTTACAGTGATACTATTTAGAGCATCTCCAAGAGATGAGCTAAAATACACAAAATCTTCATATTTTAACTATTTTATCCTAAAATTTCACTCCAACAGAACATCTCTAAAACATCTAAAATAGCATTCTGTTATACAATATCATTGTAACAATATGCATAAATTCTTTATAATATTTTCTCTCTCCTCGTTTACTTTCCTCCATTCTTTCTCTTTCTCCCTCTAACTATTTTCAAAGAAAAAATAATACAAAAGGAATGAGAAATAATATTTAAAGAAAGTAGTTAAAATATAAAAAATCTATTGGAGTGTGCATTGAAAAAGTGAGTAGTAAAAATAGAAAATGTGACTTTTTGAGTAACTAAATTAGCTTTTATTATTGGGGATGTTTTCATTGTAGAAACTTTTATAAATACTTTATAATTTTTTTTCTCTCCTCCTTTCGTTTCCCACCTCTCTTGTTCATTCTTTGTCTTTCCCTCCATTCTTTCTCTTTTTTCCTCTCTTCAATAATCTCAGCAAAGATACGAAATATGTGGAATAATATTTAAAAGAAGTAGTTAAAATATAAATAATATGTTGAAGTGTATTAAAAAAGTGAGTAACTAAAATAAAAAAAAATATACTTTTAAATAGTTTAAATCTAAACCTTGTTGGAGATGCTTTTATAGGTAAATCTAAGTTCTCTTTTGTAGAATAAAGATGGTAGTGGAATATTTTTATAAAAATTGCTTCATAAGGGATTTCATAAACTGATTTTTTGAGGCTTGAGATGGAGAGATAATAATATGGTTGAAATCCTATAAGATTATTATAATGCATAGGTTAATTTCAAATTTCACCCTCAATTATGGGTGTTATTGTAATTAACCACCTCAGGTTATAATTTTAACAAATTGCCCCTCAAAGTTTCAATTAGATTAAATTAACTAAGGGTGCGTTTGGTAACGTTTTCGTTTTTATGTTTTTTTTTTTTTTTGTGATAAAAATTAAAAATTTAAAACATGTTTGGTAGTCATTTATATTTAAAAAGTTGTGAAAACAAAAATAAAAATCT